GGCAGGGTATCTGGGACTTGGCAGGGCTGATCCAAAGAGTCTCATATCGGGGATTGTGCCCACAAGCCTGTAGGACAGGAGTGAGCACTTTTTCCTTTCTTAGGTAGCATGGGTTGAGCTTGCAGGGGAAAAGGGAGTGCCCCCCTCACCCACCCTATAATGTAGTCACATACCCCAGGACCTGCCCTTCTGGTTCCCAGATAATATCTTCCCTGGGAGATATATTCTGAAAGTCCCAGCTCTGCACAGTATTGTGGTCCCAGTGTACAGCTGATCTCAGTGGGACAGAGCCAGCCAAGAGGTTCAGCAGCTGTGGGGAAGGGCACTAGCTGCACACTTGAGGTGGGGGAGATAGGCCCTCTTTCCAAAGCCACACAGTTTAGTGACTGTCTGAGTTTCCACCTAGGGCATCCCCAAAAGAAGGCCCCAATGTCACTGCTGGGGGCAGCCTTTAGCCCCCTCTGCAGGACCTGAACACAGCTGAGTGGCTTCATCAACAGTCAGGGGGACTGGACAGTACACTCCCCAGGCTGGTACTATAACAATAGGAGTGCTTATTTCTGAAGAGGTGACATTTGGGTCTTCACTGAGCCACGGATTTTCACTGTCAGATGCTACGTGGGCTCCTCTTCCCATGTCTGCTGCCCTGTGTTGGGGATTCCCGTGTGGAGCTGAGACCCACACTCCTAGGAGGAGGGAGTTTTGCAGCTGAAATATCCCTCTGGCTTCTCAGTTCCCGCACCTTTGTGCAGGAGCTAGCCCTTTCTGCATCTGCACCCTTCTTACCAGTCTCTATGTGCCTTCTTCTGTAAGTTATTGGTTATAATATTTCAGTTAAGGTAGCCTTCAGTTGGTTATTCAGATTGACTGCTCTATAATTTAGCTATAAACCCAGTTTGGGGACAGGAGCATGTGAGTATGGCTTCTACCTACTCCACAGCCATCTTGGACTCTCTCTCTCTCTATTTCTTGTATTTTTTTTTTGCTTTGTTAGAGTTATTTAACTTTAACCAAACAAATCTTGAAGAATAATAATGACTAACACCTAGAAGAGCTTGCAATATGCCAGTACATACAATAATTCTAATAGCACCTGTAAGACATAAATTAATATCCTGAATTCTACAATGAAAAAATCAGGACACAGAAAGTGAATTACCTTGCCAAAGATCACAAAGGTAGAAGTGCCACAGTCAGGATTTGAATCCAGAACTCACACCACTAACTGCTATATTTTACTGCCTCTGGATGTGATAGAGACAAATTGGAGACAGAAAGTTTTAAATGAAGTAATGATTCCAGAGGGTGTTGCAAATGACCCAAGCATGAAATGGTAGAAGTGTAGATTAAGATGATATCAGAAAGGGCTGGTGTGCAATAATACTGATAAATGAAGATACTAAGAATCAAAAGCCAACCATGAATGAATGTGTCATGCCCCTCGTCATTGTTTTCTCATTTTGTACTTTATTTACACTACAACAAACACAATATCTCCACAGGTCTCTTTATTATTATAAAAATAATACTCAAATTTCAACAGCACCAAAGAACATCTGAATAATATGTAAACATTTTTCTCCCCTTACAACCCCTTCTTCCACCTCCACAGGATGAAAATTTTAACCATCCTTGTGTATCTTTTCAGGAATGCTCAATGCATGTATTATATGCATATGTCGTATATATACATATCTATACTTTCTTTACACATTCTGTTCTACAATTTGCTCTTTTCACTTAAAATTATATCTTAAGACATTGTTTTTCACAAGTGCATGGAGATTAACTTTTTAAAAAACTATCTTTAACAATTGTAAAGCATTTTATTGTGTGCATGTACAATAGTTTGTGTAACTATTTCTCTCTTTGAATGGAGAATATTGTTCATGAAAAGCTAGAAAGGGAAAAAGGCTTAGTTTATAAGGAAACAGATATTTACAATATATCAAAATTGTCATTGGATTGTAAATCTTGCATAATAGTATAGAAATGAGCTAAGAACTTTAAAGTAATTTCAGTAAACATACAGGCTTAGGACCTCAAAGCACTTAGTCATTTGAAGAAAATAAAAATGAAGCAAAAAAGCATGATATAAAGTGAAATACATTCCCAGTCACTAAAATCAAAATGTATAATCATAAAACCTACCATTTCAATTCCTTGCAATCAGGATTGGGTTTTAAGAGTCTGCCACTCAGGGGTTGAATATAGACAATCTACCGGTGGAAAAATAATCTAGGGCCATTTTAAGAATAAGTGGATTTTCTTTTAAATGTATAGTCATTGTGATATTAGAGAATAGCTAGAAACTTCCACCTTATTTTCATTTTTGAATATTTTTAGTTTGGCTGAGCTGTTTAGAAGGTAGGTTATGATTATTCTTCCTAATCCACTCTCACTGCCTGTCTTAGACAAAAACAATTATTTTAGGCAGAGGAAATTTCTAGTATTAGCAAGAGAGAGAAGAGACCCTTGGGGAGTAAAAAAAATCCTATCTTCTATTGTGTAGTTTTGTTTTCCCAAATAAGGTAAATCCATTAAATGCCTGTCCTACTGGACTCTCTGGACCTTCCCCGGGTTTATTTAAGCAGTTGCTCATAGCAACCACCCACACTTGAAGTAGCTGAGCTGAGTGTTGTGAGTAACAGCTTGGTGAGCCTTTAACTTCCATGATCATTTCCTCTGCCCTGGGGATAACAACATTAAAACTAAATGATAATTTAAATATATTAATAATGTTGTTGTGCTCTTTTATTTTTTTAAACTCTACTTTTCAAATAACATGATAAAATACTGAAAATAAAATAGTTGTCATCTGAGTCTGCTGGCCACCCTCAGTACTGTGAGAGATGTAATAATTCAGGAACCAGAGGAGGGCTGTGAAGAAATCCCAGCAGCAGCACAGCCCAGTGGCCACCCCCTCCATCTTCTTCCCTCTCCCATCACTACAATGCCCACCTCTCCAAGACCCACTGGTGATAATCAGATCACAGTCCTGCTGATGAAGAGGCAGCCCAAAATAGCCAGAAAAGGCAAACCTGAGTGCAGATCTGCTCTTTACCACTTTGCAACCTTAGACAAGTTACTCAGCTTCTCTGAGTGTGGGTATTTTTTTCCCTTTTAAAGTCATTCTTATGATCTATCATTAAATAAATATTGTGAAAATTAAATAAACTAACATACATTATGCACATAATCTGATGTATTTAATGTCTCCAATGTGCAAGATAAAGTTTTTAATTTAAAATAAGCAAGGAAATAACCCAGAGGATAACTTCTGGCCAAGACGGAAGTGTAGCTACACACACTTCACCTCCCCATACAACCATAATAATGACTTTTTTGTTTTAAAGTTATAACTTTAAAACAAAAAACAACCAGGACTGCCAGAAAATAAAGCTGTATATAAATCTAACAACCAATGATTTAAAAAAAGAAATATTCATCCAGATGAGTAGGAGGGGCAGAGATGGGGAGCCAGGGTGGAGAGGACACAGTGTGGCAATGGTGAGGCAAGGAGGCAGCAGCGAAGGCAGCCAGTGGCACAGACAGTCCCATATTCACATGTAGATAAGATAAAAATTATCTTAAAAATTAGGAGATACATCTGGGGAGCAAGATAAAAATTAGGAGGTACATCTGGGGAGCAAGCAATCTCAGCCCCAGGATAGACTATGCAGCCTAGAGTTTCAGCACTGGAAAATTAAAGCCTCATAACTTCTGGCTGTAAACCCTGTAGGGATTGGGGGCCTGGAAGAAACTGTTGATCTCTCAGGAAAGTGCATGTAAAAGATCCACATGGTCCTAGAATGTATGTAAACCCCTGGATTCATCACCAGGACAGCAATTAAAAGGGCTCCAAGTTGCATATGGGAAGTGGGAGAAGTGACTGGGGCAAGAGCCGAGCAAGCACCACTGTTCCCTCTCCAACTCATCCTCTACATACAACTCCACAAAGCTGCAAAACAGGTAGCTCCACCCTGGTGAATACCTTAGGTTCCACCCCTTACAACATAACAGGTGCACCAAGACAGGAAGTCAAAGCAGCTCTACCTAATACAAAGAAACAAATACAGGGAGGCTGCCAAATTGAGGAGATAGAGAAATATGGCCCAAATGAAAGAATTGATCAAAACTCTAGAAAAAGAATTAAACAGAAATAGCCAACCTATCAGATGAAGAGTTCAAAACACTGGTGATCAAGATGCTCAGAGAACTTGTTGAGTATAACAAATACATAGGGGAAGAAATGAAAGCTACACTCAGTGAAATAAAGAAAAGTCCACAGGGAACCAACAGTGAAGAGAAGGAAGCCAGGTTCAAATCACCAATTTGGAACATAAGGAAGAAATAAACAGTCAACCAGTACACAATGAAGAAATAAGAATTAAAAGAAATGGGAAGAGAATAAGAAGACTAGGGGATATCTTCAAACTGCCAACATCCAAATCATGGGGATACCAGGAGAAGAGGAAGAGCAAAAAATTGAAAAATTATTTGAAAAAATAATGAAACTTCCCTAATTTGGTGAAGGAAATAGACATACAAGTCCAGGGATTACAGAGAGTCCCAAAGAAGTTGGACTCAAAGAGGGCCTCACCAAGAAACATCATAATTAAAATGCCAAAGTTTAAAGATAGTGAGAGAATCCTAAAAGCAGCAAGAGAAAAGGAGAGAGTTAGCTGCAAATGAGTTCCCATAAGACTATCAGTTGATTTCTCAAAAGAAACTTTGCAGGCAAGAAGGGACTAGCAAGAAGTATTCAAAGTATTGAAAAGCAAAGACCTACAACCTAAATTACTCTATCCACCTAAGTTTTCATTTAGAATTGAAGGGCAATAAAGTGCTTCCCAGACAAGGTAAAGTTAAAGGAGTTCATCCTCACCAAGCCCTTATTATATGAAACATTAAAGAGATTTATTCAAGAAAAAGAAGAAGATCAAAATTAGGAACAGTAAAATGGCAGCAAACTCACAACTATCAAAAACTGAATCCACACGCTGCTTTTGAGTCCCTGCTGTGACTGCGTGTGGTGCCAGGGGTCTGGCTGCAGAGCCAGAGCAGGAGCTTGTGCATAACTGGGGCCGACTTCTTCTCGGCTGGCAGCCTTTTTAACCTCGAGCGACATGGGAAAAAAACTGAATCTAAAGAAATAAAACAAGCTAAGCAAACAACCAGAATGGAGGATTGTCAGCAGGGAGAAGGAAGGGGGCAATGGAGGAAAAGGAACAGGGATTAAGAAGCATAATTGGTGTGTACAAAATAGACAGGGGGTGTTAAAAATAGTATAGGATATGAAGAAGCCAAAGAACTTACATGCGTGACTCATGGATATGAACTAAAGGGGCGGGGGATTGCTGGAGGGAAGGAGGTAGCAGGTGGAGAAGAGCGAAGGGGAAAAAAATGGGACAACTGTAATAGCATAATCAATCAAATATACTTTAAAAAATGAACTACAATTTTTCTCTATTAAAAAAACCCCACAGGATTAAAAAAAATGGAAAACCATAGAAACAGATCCATTTGCAGAGGAAGAATACTCAATCACTCACATTATGTCAATTAGGGGGACCCGAGCAGGCCCTGCAAAATTCTTCCTCACAGAACTGAAATTCTATTCTCCTCCCCAAACAGTTCCCTCAATAGTGGCCCTGGACTATTTTTTTCTTGACTTTGTAGCTACCCTTGGTCTAATCCCTGTAGGTTCATCTCTGATCTCGGTCCCCTAAAGGAAGGTACTTGCCTGGCTGAACCAAAAGGATCCTTCTCTGGAGGAGTCATCTGCTTTTACCAAGCCCTCCCCTTTTGGACCCACATGGCTGAGAACCTATGTGGCTACCCTAGAAGTTCTATCTCTGTCCTTTACCCATTCCTCACTGATTTGTCTCCTCCATTGGAAGAATTCACTAGCAGGTTGCTGAGATTGATCTGTGGTTGGGTGCTAAGTGTTTTATTTTTTGTTATAAACAAGTATCTTTGCCTGTGTTTCCAAGAAATCAATGGTTGGGGAGCAGAGGTTACAGTGATCCAGACCCTTTTGCATAGTGCTTCATGATACACTGATTACTTGACTCACTTGACCAACTTGAGTGAAACAGACCCTTCTACCAGTAAAAAAAAAAAATTAATAATATCCTGTTTTCATGCTCACTAGCCTTTAATGGTAGAAGGATTTCTTCTCTTATTGTTCATATTCTTTACCCTTTGATCTATACTTGGCATTCACTTACTGTCTCTGACTACAGCAGCAAGAAATGGTAGTAATGCACCACACAGAAAAGAAACTACTGGAAAAAATTTGTAATTATTTAAAATGAATTATGGTGATTATTTTTACCAGTAAAGAACCTGCTGCTGGAATTCGCTTGGACTACATGGTGAGGACCCACCAGCTCCTATCTTCTGCATGATTTCAGCTCTTAGCCTAATGGCTGAGCATTTGTGACTGACAGATCTATAGCAAATTCATGAATCAAGCTCATGTTACACATTTTAGCCACCTCCCAGGATCTCTTGGATGGGCTGTCACTCAGTGCATGTTCCCTGTGTTCCAAGCTCCTCAAGAGAACACACTAGTTCAGGGGTGTCAAACTCATTTTCACCAAGGGCCACATCAGCCTCACGGTTGCCTTCAAAGGGCCAAGTGTAATTTTAGGACTGTGTAAATGTGACTGCTCCTTAACAGTTAAGTGAGAGCTCAGCACAGCTGCCAAGTAGAAACAAGGTGCTGGGCTGGGTAAAACAAGGTGGGGGGCCTTGTGTTTGCCACCTGTGCACTAGTGGAACCCTTCCAATTGTGTGATGTGACTATTAGAAACACTTCTCACATGCACTTGTTATTAGAGTGTTTCATTTTTAAAAGTTTGTCATTTATATCTCATTTGATCATCACACAGCCCCCTTCTATTTAGGAAAATCCACTACACTAATTACAGGTCAGGAGCAAAACTAGGCCTTAGCTCATGTCATTTTACTCTGCTGCCAGAATGTTCTCCAAAATGCTAAATGCTGGTTATAAGTGGGTAAAGGACATAATCATTAAGAAAAGAAAAAGTGTTGTTTACTCCAAATCTTCTTTGTGGAGAATTTATCAAGACCACGATGAGTCTAGTTCTAAGAATTTTGACTGCCTTAATCATAAGTTAATTTTTCTCTACGTACATCTACAGTAGAACTCAAACAGATGCAAAGGAATGACATCAGTAGTCAGGTGTCGATCTTTACCTCCTTAATCATGTTCACCCTTTTAATCATCAGATGACATCTCTTTATGATTGACCTAGTCTGTAGCTCAGCATAATCCACTTACTCATCCTCTTAGCGTTGCCAGATGCCTAAAGAGATCATACAATGAATTAATGAATAACAACTTTTATTATCGATCTTGGCTGATAGGTGTTTTATTTGGATAAATTGCACTCAACAAGCTATGTAACCCTGAGAAAACAAGTAAGAATAATAAGCAAAATATTTTGAAATGAATATCTAGTGTAGCCACCAATAAAAAAACTTATTTGTTTCAAGGGATTTAAGAACTTATTCTTTGTTTCTCTTAACATCTAACATCTCTGTTGCTGAAGACACTTGATAAGTGGCTCTGTGACTCCCCTGATCCTGGCCAGTTGCACGTGTCCACTGACTATTAGGGTCATGCCAATTTGGATACGAGTTAGGCCAGCTCACAAGCGAGATTGGTTGAAGTTACTTTCTCACTTACCAATAAGTAAATTTTCATTAGATTGTTCTACAATCTCTAAAATATTCTATCTTCTTTATGATACTGATTCCAGCATGGGAATGATGAATGCATAAGTTCTCACAATGGGAGACAAGGAGACAGCAGCTTTGCAGAAGTCAGTCATAGTGGAAGAGGAAACTAGTGACGCACTTTCTCTCCACCATATGCTATCAAATTAGCCAGATCCTGTGTGTGTGGAGAATTGTCAGAGGTTCCTCTGCTGCTGTATACCTTGGATAGTAGCTCACATCCAGGCAGCTACCCTTGATAATTATGTGGATTCTCTGCCAAATTTGCAATCTGCCTAGAGGTGGCAGCTGGCCAAACAATGCCTTTGTGGCCATGTGTGATCCCATGTGGATGATTCAACCCCATTGTTCTATGTCAGCCTTTTCTGCCCCACATAAAATCCCCAAGTGTGAGAAGCTCTCTGCACATAGAGGAACCTTCTACATTCAGCATAATGTGCCTAACAGGGAACATGCTGGGGTGGTTTCTCATGGGCCCATCCTCAAGCATTCCATTGCCACAGTCAGGCTCAACAAAGTGTTAGGAGCAAGATTTTTAGTATGAAGCATTCTGAATTTAGAAAAAAATAAGGCAGTGTCTATAATTGAAATGAGCTTCCAACATGTATCACAATAATGCATGTTGTCAACTACATGAATTCTCGTACTTATAAATTGTGTCCTAGCTGACAAGTTTCCTGTATTTTTCCTGTCACCATCTATCCTGTCATGTTAGGGAGCCAGGCAGGGGAGGGTGAGGGCAGGCAGTACTCACAGACCACCTGGGACCCAACCAGGGATGCATGAAGAAAGGAGGAGATGTGTATAGTTAGAAATGAAAGGTTTAAATGCATGTGGCATACTTGTTTGCTCACTTATTAATCTATTCAACAAGTATTTAATACTTGCTGTTTGTCAAACATTATTCCAGGCACTGAGGATACACAGTGAACAGAACTGATAGTAACCCCTGCCCTCATGGAGCTTGAATTCTGGCTGAGTAGACAAAAAATAAATAAGCAAGAGAAATAAGTATTGAGTCGGCCAGATGTGAATAAATGCTGGATAGGAAACGTTTAGCAGGGACAGGTGTCCTTCAAACAGAGTGACCTTGAAAGGCCCCACCAAGAAGAGGAGATTTGGTTAAAGATGTGAAGGGGGTGAGCAAGTGAGGCCTGCAGCTGTCTGAGGGGAGAGGAGCCAGGCTGGGAGTGGTAAGTGCCGACAGCACAGGGCCATGTGGCCAGAGAAGGGTGGGCAAGGGAAGAACAATAGAGGAAGTTCCCAGAGGGAGTTGAGCCAGATTGATGATGGGCCTGCAAGGCAAGTGAACACTGGGTTTTATTGAGTAAGATGGAGAGACATTAAAAGGTGTTAAGTGGAGTGACATTCTAAGGCTGCTTTTTGAGAAGAAACTAAAGGGCAGCAAGAAGAAAACAATGAGAGTATTCCAGGGGAGCCACAGTGAAGGCTTGGACTGGTGTTAGCACTGGGAACAGTCACCAGACATAGGGGCCAGATACTGCATCTGTTCTGGAGGCAGAGCCTTTCAGGGTGTGAATAGATCAGGTATGGGCTGTGAAAGGGGTTTGGTCCAGAACTGGGGAGATTGTGAGAGGAACAGCTTTAGGGGGAAAAGATCGGTAAATTCTTTCTGGATGTTTAAGTGTAAAAAAAATCAGAAGTCCCAAAAGAAGTTTCTGAACAGCCATGTGAAAGGCCTGGCCCCTCTCCTTGACTTGGGCGGGGAGAGGGCATGAGTATAACAACTGATTCCTATAAAAAGACCTGAATGTCCATGTTAATTTATTTTATATCAGGTAAATTTAAAAGATTTCTTTGGTCAGGCCAAGGATTGACTAAGAATTAAGTATGTATGTATGTATGTATGTATGTATGTATGTTTTTATGTCACAGGCTCTTTTGAGGAACTGACGACAGCCCTGAACGCTCTCCCCAAACAGAGCACAGGTGCACATTCCATCTTGCGTGCAGCATCAGGAAATTCACTGACCGCTCCCTCCCACCCCACCCAAACCCACATGGGCTGTGTAGAGGCAGACACTCCTACTGTTAGCAAAAAGTGGGGGCAGTCCCCAAGGAATGTTTTAATGGTGTTTCATCTACGCTTTTATTTATTTATCAAAATTGTCCTTCTATGAGAAGGAAAACTACAGCAACTTTCAAAATATGAGGTGATAATTACTTAAGAAAAAGAAAACATTGTAAATATTTTCTTTACAAAATAAGTCTTCACACAAAATCAAGCCTGTACGTTACCGTTTCCTCCTATCTTCCCAAGCTCAGTAACCTGCCCAAAGTTGAGCTTCTCTATGAGAATGCCACTAACTCACCACTCCTGAGAGAACCTATTCTACTTGGGG